GAACTTCATATATATTTCTAAAATTTTTTTGTGTTTTTGTTTTTAATATTGTATTTTTAAGAGTCTAACCTCTACTCTAGATTCTTAATCTTTGTTTTTCAGTATGTGATATAAATTTTGGACATTTAAGAATCCAATATTCAGTTCCCATTTCTATTCAAGAGTGTGTTGATTACTCTCTCCCACTTTTGACTCTTTGTTTTCTACCTCAGAACACCTCTATTTCCTCCTTTCCCCTTCTCTTCCCAATCCAATTCTGCGAATCGTTGTGGGTATCTGGGCTACAGAGAACACTCTGGGAACAGAGAACTGCGTAGATCTGTCTCTCTCCTCTTGAGTCCCCCCTTTTCTCCTCCTGCTCGTCTCTATCTCCCTCCTCCCTCTTCTCTTCTTCATGTAACTCTGTGAACCTCTCTCACCAGAGAGAATCTTTTCATCATTAACCTAGAAGTTTTATTACCAGTGCTGTATAGTTGGAGAAGTCTTGAGACTACTGGAAGAATAAAATGGAAATCCAGAGGCAGGAGACTTAAGCCCCAAACCTGAGAACACCAGGAAGACAAGCTTGATAAAAGTGAGAGAAAAGTGAAAGTATTAGTCCCTTAGTCATGTCTGACTCTTTATGACCCCAAGAACTGTAGCCCACCAGGCTCCTCTATCCATGGAATTCTTCAGGCTACAATACTGGAGTGGGTAGCCATTCCCTTCTCCATTGGATCTTCCCACCCCAGGGATTGAACCCTGGCCTCTTGCACTGCAGGCAGATTCTTTACCGTCTGAATCACCAGGGAAGCCAACTTGATAAAGTTGTCAAGTGGAAATGGCAGGAAGAGAAATAAAAATGGAAAGAGGGTAATGGTTACCATTGTGTTTCTGCAAGAACCCAATGACCTTCTCCAGCACGGTGGTCTTGTCCATCTTCCTCGTGTTGCCAGGCAGCATGGAGCTGAGCTCTTTGATGAGGACATTGAATTGGTCCCGACGCTTCTTCTCAGACTTGTTTCGGGAAGCTCTGTCAACACAAAAAGTGAAAATGTTAGTCTCTCACTCGTGTCTGACTCTTTGCGACCCCATGAACTGTAGCCCCCCAAGCTTCTCTGTCCATGAGATTTCCCAGGCAAGAAAGCTGGAGTGAGTTGCTATCTTCTACTCCAGGGGATCTTCCTGAGCCAAGGATGGAACTCAGGTCTCCCACTTTTCAGGAAAGGCCCAGGTTACTGGAACAGTCCACTTTCAGGAGGTTTTCTTATGGGCTGAAGGTACTTTAGGTCAGAGTGTATTCTGCTGAGATTATCTGATCAAAACTTTTCAAGGAGGGACTTCCCTGGTGGTCCAGTGACTAAGACTGTGCTCTTAACACAGGGGCCCAGGATCCATCCCTAGTCAGGGAACTAGATCCCACATGATGCAACTAAGAGTTTGAATGCTGCAAGTAAGATCAAAGAGCCACAACTAAGAGCCGGTGCTGCCACATAAGTGAAAACAAATATTCAAATAATGATTCTAATTAAAAAAACAAAAACAAACAAACAATAGAAATTTTTCAGGGAAAGGAGCATTTGTCATATTTCCGAGCTGGGTGATGGGGACAGAGAAAATTTTATGCCAGACTCCTGGACACAAAGAGAGACAGTATTAATGAGTCCTGTCAGTCAGTCAGTCAGTTGCTCAGTTGTGTCCGACTCTTTGTGACCCCAGGGGCTGTAGCCTGCCAAGCTCCTCTGTCCATGGGATTCTCCTGGCAAGAATACTGGAGTAGGTTGCAATTTCCTCCTCCAGGGGATCTTGACTCAGGATTGAGCTGTCTTCTGCACTGGCAGGTGGATTCTTTCCCACTGAGCCACGTGGGAAGCTCAGGTGCAAAATCTTACAGATGGGCTCCACGGTCAGAGCTCAGATGCTCTGACTCCAGAAGCGAAGGACATACTCTTCATCAATATAAATAGCCCTGAAGGGTTTGCTGTAACAGCCCATCCTCAAGCCCAAACCAGATTCCTTCTAACCCAGAGCACCTAGCTTCTGGTACCAAACCACAAAGGATAGGCAGGCACCCCAAGCATCCAGTAGAGAGCCAGTACCACCAGGGCACAAGCCCGTCCCCTTCCCCAGAGCTCATCATCCTACTGGGGGGTCCAGGCACACCCCCACAAAACCATCCACAAGCCACACATGGTCCAGAGCCAACGTGACAGGGATTGCACGTGACTGACAAGCCGCTAGATGTATCTGGACCCTTTTTAAAATGACACAGTTGGACTTCCCCAGTGGTGCAGTAGATGAGAGTCCGCTTGTCAATGCAGGGGATGTGGATTCAGTCCCTGATCCAAGAAGATCCCAAGTGCTGCAGAGCAACTAAGGCCATGAGCCCCAACTATCCAGCCTGTGCTCTCGAGCCCGAGAGCTGGAGCTACTGAAGCCCGCGTGCCCCACACCCTGTGCTCTGCAACAGGAGAAGCCCCTGCAAGGAGAAGCCTGGGAAGAATAGCTCCCGCTTGCTGCAACTAGGGAAAGTCCGTGCACAGCAGCAAAGACCCGAAACAACCAAAAGTGATAAATACATTATTAATTTAAAAAATGACACAGTGGAATCTTCAGTGCACATTACAAAGTGAGAGCCCATCTAAAAAGTCTCCATACTCAAGGGTCCCACGCTATGACATTCTGCAAGAGGCAAAACTATGGCAATAGTGAAAAGATCAGTAGGCCAGGGGTTGAGGGGGGAGGGATGAAAACACAGAGTCCAGAGAATTTTTAGGGATGGGAAACTGCTCTGTATGATATCACGATGGTGCATGCATTTGCCCAAACCCATAGAATGTACAATCCCAAGAGTGAACCCGAAAGTAGACTATAGTCTTTTGGGGGATAATAACCTGTCAATGCGGCATCATCAATTGCAGCAAATGGACCACCCTTGTTGGGGGTTGTTGATAACAGGGGAGGCTGTGCATATATACAGGCAGAGGGCATATGGGAAAAGAGGGCATATGGGAAATCTTTGTCCTTCCACCCAATCCTGCTGGAACTTAAAACTGTTCTAAAAATAGAGTATATTAAAAAAAAATGACATACTATACCACACAACTACAGAAGTAATCAATGTGGAGCCACTCAGTTTGAGGCGTCTTCCCACTGAGGCTCTGAGGACCCCAGGGTCCTGGGAACTTGGGAGAGGAAACCATGGCTGCAGGGGCTGCTCTATTANGGAATCAGGACCTGAACCCCAGCTGCCTTATTCCAAAGCTCATGATTCAGAGCCTAATCCATGCACCATTTTTCTTCTCTACTCCTCTAAATTTGGGGCTGTGTATGGTTTAACTGTATCCACATAAGCCTTGCTGAGGCAGAGAGCTCACATTCTAACTCCAGGTTTGACAAGATAAGAGTGTTTCTGATCAAATCCCCTTTGTCAGTCCAGAAGAGTTAGAAGTGGTTTGTGCAGGGATCAATTCTTTGGTGCTCAGCTTTCTTTTTAGTCCAACTGTTACATCCATACGTGACTACTGGAAAAACCATAGCTTTGACTATATGGACCTTTGTCAAGCAAAGTGATATCTCTGCATTTTAATATGCTGTTTAGGTTTGTTATAGCTTTTCTTTTAAGGAGCTAGCATCTTTTAATTCTGTGTCTATAGTCACCATCTACAGTGATTTGGAGGGTGCTGGTGGCTTATGACAACTCAGTGGGTTCCCCTTAGAGGGATTCACATGCTGTGGGGTAGGTACCAATATCCACAGGTGTCAGGATCCACGGAGATTTCAGGTTTCCCCAAGAGCACTTGGAAACCTAGGCACACGCCCCAAATACCCTTTCCTTGGACACCGTGATGGTCATAAACATTCTGCTTGTTGCTACCCAATTAGACACGACCTGCCCTTTTTATTCTTAAAATTTTTGGCTGTTCCGGGTCTTTGCTGCTGCACGTGGGCTTTCTCTAGTTGTGGCAAATTGGGGCCACTCTCCAGTTGCGTGCATCAGCTTCTTACCGCCATGGCTTCTCTTGTTTCAGAGCACAGGCTCCAGGCACCCAGGCTTCAGTAGCTGTGGCCTATGGGCTCAGTACCCGTGCCACATGAGCTGAGTTGCTCCCCGGCGTGTGAGATCTCCCCAGACCAGGGATCACACCCATGCCCCCTGCACCCTGCACTGGCCACCAGGGGAGTCCCTCGACCTGTCTTGATTTCAACGCACCCGTTCATACATCACCTTTTGCTGATTTCGTCTCAGTTTGGGATGTTATCTGAGAACTTCTAAGGCAATTCTTCGAAGTTCACCTAAAGTGCAAGGTGGCTACTGTTACCTAAGGGTCTCTTCCTGTTCCTGACCTTTTCCTCCTTCCTGTCTCTGCTCAGAGTTTTGGGAGGGCCTGAAATCCTCTAGGCCTTTCTACAAAGGCCTCATTTCTAGCCGAGTCACTATCCCCAGGAACGCTCCCTCCCGATCACAGGCTGACTGCAGGTGTGACAGTAAGACACCGAGGGGCCTTTGTGCTAGCCCAGGGTAAAACACATAGTGTTCAAACCCATGAGAGAGAACAAAGGAGGCCTTTAACTTTCTGAGTGACTGTCTATGCATTATAAATAAATTCTCAGCCTAGATTTGAAGAGTGACATGCAACCTCCTTAGCCAGAAAAAGCTCTATTCCTGTCCTAGTTTGCCCATTATAAATCATTGGTGAGCGGATAACACCCGGCTCATTATAACTCTGTTCTCTTCTTCAATGGGTGTAATGACAATGAACACAGCCTGGCAGAGCCGATGTTGAAGGCTTATATCATTAGTGACAGGAACACAAGCTTGTTTCCGTCAGCCTCCGCCTGGGACACACGATGGTGCCCACTGGAAATCGGTCAGCGTCAGTTGGATCCGCAGCTCTGAGCCAAGAAGGAAAAAAAGAAAGCCTTAAATGACCTTATTTCTGATAAAGGAGGCTGTTTCAGCAGGCCCTAAGACCACCAGGCATAAGGCATCAGGAAAACAGGTTGAAAGACACTTAACCAAGCAGGCTTAGGGTTTGTTTTGTCCTTTGAGGCCTTATTTATGTTCAGTGAAACTCATCCATATTATGTGTGTGGTTTGGTGAATCTTAGTAATTGCCTGAAAGTGAAAAGTGAAAGTATTAGTTGTGTCTGACTTTGTGACCCCATGGACTGTAGCCCACCAGGCTCCTGTGCCCATGGAATTTTCCAGACAAGAATACTGGAGTGGGTTGCCATTCCTGTCTCCAGGGGATCTTCCCAACCCAGGGATGGAACCCAAGTCTCCTGCATTGCAGGC